TAAAAATTTAGATAAGCAATATTAGACAGTAAACAAGATAGATATTAAGTTATTTAGACATTAAAAGTATTTTTTTTGTCAAATTGTACCAAGGAAATAAAAGGTTTTTTATTTATTATTTGTGCCTAAGTATATTACAAAAAGGTTAATAAAACCCACAACTTTAAGAGAAAAGGTGGAATTAGTGTCACCATACGAATTATGGCGCGATTACACTTGGTCGTTAGCTCGAATACGAGTGCCAATGGAATTCGGGTAAACGACTAAGTATGAATGAACGGAGTCGAAGACGCCCGTTCTGGTAGATTCCCTTTTGTTTACTCGACACCGTCTTCCAGCCCGTATTCCAGTGTAAATATTGCTTCGGGTGCCCGAATTCGAGCAATGTCTTTCGTGCATCCGCATACGGGCTAACGACCAAATGTAATTGCGGCATTATAGGGATACAGGTTTCTCTGTTCTGTAGTCAATGTAGGCAGTGTAGTACCTAACTGAAATCCAACGAATTGAAAATTATATAATACGAAAATAAATAAATTTTTGATCTACAGAGTTAATATATAAGCAGTGACTTTACTATTCTGTGAGAACAAATCATGATCTTATAACTTTTCTAAAATATCATTAAATAGAAATGATTTTTGTTCTATGTTGGAAAGCGCCTGGGAAGACTATAATTGCGATACTGGATAAAGAGACAGAACATTGTGTCTTTCGATGTTTTAATGACAGTCATGTAACCCATAATGTGACGACACAATGTCCAGAGAAACGTTTACGAGAACTTGAAAATTGAATTTTTAAAATAGGTTTTTGAAGTTATACTTCTTTAGGCGCGTTATGAAAAAATGATGAGAGTGAAATTTTAAGATGCGCGCGCATCACTGTAAGCGACCAACTTCATGCTGTTACTTTTGTGTTTACCGCACATTAAGAAAATCTACCAACAAAATAAAAATAGAATCTCTATTTAGTGAGTGCTAACGACTGCATTGTGAAGGCCTATCAAAAGTATTTATTAATCTGGAACAACGGAACCAAAGCGCGATTCAGGAGACTACAGCGCCATCTCTTGACCATTGGTGTAGTAGAACCAAAAACCACATCTTTATTTTTTGTAATAAAGTAACAGTTATAGGTATTCATATTTATAATATTTATCCACATGTTTCTAGTTTGTATATTCGGAATACGTGTTTGAGTATTATACAAGTGCAAATCACATATGTTCTAATAAATTATATTCAGTAGCGATTTTAATTGAATATTTTGATTATTTATTTATTTTTTCAAATTAAAACTGAACTTTATTGACTGTGTCCTTTTCCAGACTTTTTATTAATTTATTGTAATTAATAATATGCATGCAATTAAAAACTAATTTTAAACGATGCCAAAGAAGGATAACTTCTCACGCGCCTACATAAATACACGGACCCTTTTTTTTTTGTCTGAAATGAACAGAATAATGAATATCCACTTTTTATGAACTCCATTAACATTAGTAAGAAATAACGTGAGATCGTTTACTAAAATTTGTCAAATACCCTATAAATTGGACGACCTACGTACGCCGGGTTTCATGGAGTCGCCGACTCGAGAGGTCCCGGTTTCGAATCCCGGTGGGGGCAGATGTGAGTGTGATGAATATGAGCATTTGTACTCCAGTTATGGATGTTTAATAAGTATTTCTATATAAATATACTTATATATGTACTGCACATGTATTCTATCTGTTACCCTAATATCCCATAACACAAGCCTTAAAGTTCTTAATTTGGGACTAGGCTAATTGGTGTGAGTGTTGGAAATATTTATATTTATTTATTTATAAACTCCATAATCAAAAAGATAACGAATTTTAATTAAACACTTATTTAAGTTATTAACGTTTTATTGAAACCGACTTGAGCATTTTATAAAAAGTGCGCAATCGATAGATAATAAGTGGTTTGCTCTGCATTATCTTGGTCTGCTATTGTGCAAACGGTGGCCGCCCCATGTTACAAGAACGGCCGCCATCGTATTGTGTCAGTTTCCTATGCTTTCACTGCATCGTAGGTATAATGTAACAAAACAGGTAATTGATATTAATGTGTAGTATAGTCTTGTCTACAAGTGCGAGTTCGAGTTCTGGCTAGGTTTATGGTGTAGTACTTTATTAAAATATGATTGAGTAAAACTTGTTTTAATACGTTCGGTCTGAAATCGTGGATCGTGGCACCTCACCAGATGAGAGCAGATGCACCTCAAAAAGCAGTTATAAGTAGTAAATAAATAAATAATTGCGGCAGCTATGATCTCAAAACTTATTTTTCTTATGTTTTTCGGTACGAGTTGCATCTGTTGAAAATTAACACAGACTGAATGACCTACAGTCGTTGTCAGACTTGTGGTCGGCTCGTGGTGATCCATCTGTTGTCGTCTGTGGACGCATCTGTCGACGTGTAGAGAAGACATGACAATACACTTGAACCAGGACACTAGATTTACACTATTTTTTACGCAATCGACACTAGTGTCTACATTAGTATCGAGTGTCAGTATCATCGTGTATATGATCCTCTATTATTAAAAAATTACAATTTCGTAAAAATATCTGTAGTCTCCATTATACGCATTTATTGAAGTACGTGGTACGTAATGTAAGCCATAAAGTAAATGGTTCATTTTCCTCACCCTCACAGCTAGATTAATAGTGGTGCCCTCTTGATAAATGGTCTCCTACAAAACTGAAAGATAGGGTTGAAGTTAAAATGTAAGGCTTTGAACATTGGTTTCCGTGCTTACGTTTGAATAAAAAGTAGGTATTGATAATTAATTGTATTTATCAAAGCCACACTGGGATTTTCAGTATAATTTATATTTATTATATTTTTATTTAAGTATTAACCTATCTGCTAGATGTTTAAATCTAATGTGGGTTACCTACAATGCGAAGAGCTGCTTTCAAACCTAAGAAGTTCTAAACAAAATTCGACACGGCAATTGTGATCTCGTCTCGGTAGTATAATTTTGGATAGTACGTCCGCCCGGGTAGCGAAGGTTCAGGTTCGAATCCCGTCTGAAACCTGGACTGAGTAGATTTTTTTCTAGTATTTTTTTATGATGCAAACTTATTGAACATAAATGACTTCTTTCGATTAGCAAATTCATTCATTGCTAATCGTAGGTGCTCACCTACTTTTATTAGATAGTAGATTTGAAAGAAGAGCTTGATACGCAGTAGGCGGGTGTGTGGTATGTGATCTAGGAATATAAGAAACTTTCACAATAGCCAGTTCCAGGATGGGTAACCAAAAAGTATTACCTAGAGCTGCTTCATGCTTCAGAAGAAGTTAAGCCGTTGGTCCCAGCTGCATCTTCAGTCGTTAGCACCTACCACCACGACAAGTTACCATCCTTTCTTGGTTGCTGGTCCTCCTCTTCGCAACAATTCTCAAATCCTTGTACGCATTAGCGTACAGCGAAGGAGTGGAGTTGTCTGCCTGCGTCTGTATTTCCGAATACCATATAATCTGACTTTTGTTAAAGGTGAATAAGCTCCTTCTGGGTAAGCTCGCTATATCGTAGATCCTGTCTCTCTCTCGGGCTGGAGAGAGGATCAAGAATTTACTCATTAACAAATAACTAATCATGTCATTGCCCGTTCTCCCTATTCCGTCATGTCCCATGCCATGGACACGCCTGAGCCCCAAATACCCAGAAAATATAGGCAGTGCAATTTTATAAAATCTATTGCCGCTACTCAAATTGTAAATGTTAACCATAAAGCTTTTGCTCGCAACACTAACTACGGTGGGATAAAAAAATCATCATCATCATCATCAGCCTATTTATGTCCCCACTGCTGGGGCACAGGCCTTCCCTATGGATGGAATAGGGAGATTGGGCCATGACCCACCACGCGGGCCCAGTGGATTGGTGGGTGCTAACGACTGCAGATGCAGCCGGAATCAACGGCTTAACGTGCCTTCCGAAGCACGGAAGAGCTCAAGATAGTAATTTTTGGTCACCCATCCAGTGACCGACCACTGCGAAAGTTGCTTGAGTTCAACGATCGCAACCGAACGCGCTAACCACTTGCGCCATCCACCTCCACATATAAAAAAAATAACTTTAAAAAATTTAAACGTTTTGTTCAAAAGAATTTTCACACACACGTAGTTGTTTTTATGTTAGTTTTCTTTTATATTTAGGCTTAAGAAAAACAAGCTTTTGTATGCAATTTTTAGGTAATACAACAATGATTCATGAGACTTTGTTTCATGTTCTATTGTGTGATAATATAAGAAACAAAAGACTCGCATATAAACCCGTATGAAACCAATGATTTTAAGGTTCATTTAGACAGCGGGCGGGCTGGAACGGCAACGCGACGCTCGCTAGCGCGATTTAAACAAGTTATTCTGTACTCGTAGCACAAACCAATATCGAATTCGTAACGTTTGTGAGTCCGAAATGTCACTGTCCAATGTGTACTGATTTTTAGGTTCTCGTTACGTACTTTGTGGCGCTGCTGTTCAAGTTTCCATACAAAATTTGACATTGACATTTCGCACTCGCAAACTATTCGAATTCGATAATGGTTCGTGCTACTACTGCTGAATTGAAATGTTTCTCATAATTTCGCACACTTCAAGTTTCTTTTTAAAGTTAAAAGTGTGGCAAACAAGAATATGGCTCGACTTAGGATAACTAACGTTAAGCAATATACACAATGGCTGACCATAGGATGGGTGACCAAAAATTTACTATCACAAGGTCCTTCTTTCTCAGCTGCATCTGCAGTTGTTATCGCCCAGGTATTGCATCGTGACGCTCATTCTCTTTATTCTATAATTAGGAAAGTCCTGCGCCCTAGCAGGGACTTAAGAGCAAATGAAAATTGATGAAAAAAACAACCTTTGAACCATACAAAAGTACCTGGTTATTTGTTTTGTATTAAATTTTGATGAAGTTTCAAAACAAATAATTAATTTTATGATTTTTTCTTTCAGGAACAAGTCGCACCCGTCCAGGAACCACAAGAAGAGGATAGAATAAGGTAAGTTTTTAATAAACCTAAGAAAATTCAAGGATATGTAAACCCTTGAAAGAAGACAGCAAGCCAGATTTTTGGATTGGCTGTGACCTATGAACAGCAGCAACAGAGAGATCATAAGATTTCTGTTTTTTTAAATAGACAACTTTAAAAACTAATTACATTCAGGGAGGTAGGGCAAAGCGGATTTTTCGCTTTTATTAGAGTGCCCGTCTGGGGAAGCAAATTCCACCTTCATCAGGTGGAATGGCGAATTTGATGTGCCTCTTATAAAAAAAACTACATGTATATGATCGTTCAGATATATTGAAAAAAGTAATTGCTCAATACGAAAGTAGGTAATTGCTCAATAAGTACATATGCATCGAACAACATTTCCTCAAAAGCCGGTGCGTCAATAACACGAGTGTTTCACGGTCATTGTCTTGCGTGTACAAAGTCTGTCTGCGCCGTGTTTTTACACGGCAGGCAAGCTCCTATCGTTTCCTACAGTGTTACGTTCGACGCCATTGTTTGAAATACGACAGTGCGTGCTGCAATGAAAGTTGACTTTGATACTAATTTTGCCGGTTCTTCGATATATTAATTAGCATTTTTAATAGTCAAATGCGTGTCTCAATATCGATGAGACCGGTAAACATGCATATAGAAGGCAGTGATATCAATGACCGACAAGAACCAATAACTCGGTGTTACCATATTAAGTGATTTGTTACTCTTATTTTCGTTGATGACAGAAACAATTATGTATTAAATAAATAACCTTATTGGACTAGGAATAAAGTTAATAATTCTCTCCTCTGTTTATAATTGCAGTTTTAATATGCGCAAATCATATTGTCATTTGATTTCAAAATGAAGATGAAGTACACACTGTCTTAAAATTAATCGGCATTTCTGAATTTCTGAGTTCGATTTCAATTAGTCCAGCGTTTTTTTTTTCTATATTGTCTAGCCTCTAGTGGAATCTTAGATGTTATTACCCTTGTCCATATTAAAAGAGCTTTAGTATTTCGTAATGCTGCTCCTTCAGAGAGTAATTACAGGTAATATCATTAATTGAAATGAAATGAAAATGAAAGGAAAAGTCATTTATTCAGTCTAGGCTGTTACAAGCACTTGTGGAGGTCAAGAAGCTACGCCATCTTCCAATTTCTTCATTGACCAACATTTTGGTGAGACAATGATCAAGATAATGCCTAATGTTGAATCCAAGTTTTAACAGAACCAAAGAAAAAACATACTGAAAAATAAAAAGTTAGATGTTATACAAGATACTTATTAACAAAAAATTACGTTAATAATAACAATATAATAACCATCAATTAAATTTACTTTACAACAAGCTATCTAAATAATTGGTACTGACTCTTTTTTTAGTAACATTTTCTTTAGATTTAAACAAATAGCAGTTAAATGCTTAAAAAATAAAAAAATATATAAATGGCACTGAATTTAAAAACAATTGAAAATATCTCTTATTTCCCAGAAGCAGCGGTAACGAAGAATACCGTCCAGGTCAAGTGTTCTCTCTAAACGCTCAGGAGCTCCTGGAGCTGCAGCCAGAGAGGAAAGCTCCGGTGTCCAACGACCAGCTGCTGCAGCAGTTGTATTCTCCCCAACAGTCAGACCACAAGCAACTGTATTATTTGGAACCACAATCACAAACTGCGAGACAGGTACGATAAAGTTAAGAACATTTTCCCATCATAATCTCTTAGAGTTGCCATGAGAGCATTAAAAAATCTTTTAAGCTTGTGCTCCAGCAAGATTGCAGCATCTGTACTATTTGAAAACATTACCCCATATTTCGAAACAGATACGATAAATGTTAAACACATTAAATATCTCTTGGGGTTGCGGCGAAAGGGAAAAGTCCCGAAGTCCAAAGATCTGCTGCTTCAGCAAGCAATCCATGCAGCTGTAGCTGCTATATCAAATCGTAATCGCAAGTTGGGAGACAGATAGGCTCAATCTTAAGAAAATTACCGGACTGGGAAGGATATACCAAATTCTCCCTATTCGTTTAAGTAATAACGATAAATTCAAGATTTTAAAGATGGCGCTGTCTCCTTTCAAATATGTAATTCGTTAAATTCATTTTACATTATTCAACCTCGTAAGATTGATGTGTTCCCAAAGTTATTAGCTATTTGCGATCCACACGAGTGAAATTATATTTAACGCGATAAAGTTAGGAAAGCCTGTGTCACTATGAAATAATGATGTAGCGAATGTTTTGACATTTATTCAGACGAAGATTGACAATATGAGAAAAATACAATCGAATCCTAAAAAGCCCGTTCATCACACAAAACGGCAACGTGTACACATCAACAGCCTATCCTAGTCCACTGCTGGACATAGGCCTCTCCAATTGCACGCCACTCAGATCGATTTTGGGCTACTCGCATCCAGCTCCTGCCAGCCACCTTGCGCAAATCGTCACTCCACCGTGCCTGAGGACGTCCTACACTACGTTTGCCTAGACGCGGTCTCCACTCCAGAACTCGTCTACCCCAACGGTTATCGGTTCTTCGGCAAATATGGCCAGCCCACTGCCACTTCAGCTTACTAATCCGGTGGGCTATGTCGATAACTCTGGTTCTCTGTCGGATTACCTCATTTCTGATGCGATCCTTCAGAGAAACGCCGAGCATAGCCCTTTCCATAGCGCGCTGAGCGACTTTGAACCTGTGGACCAGCCGTACCGTCAGTGTCCACGTCTCGGCTCCGTATGTCATCACAGGTAGGACGAACTGATTGAAGACTTTCGTCTTTAGGCACTGTGGGATCGACGATGTCAAGACTTGACGTAGCTTCCCAAACGCTGCCCAACCCAGCCGAATTCTTCTATTCACCTCGTCCTCAAAGTTGTTTCTACCTAACTGCAATGTCTGCCCGAGGTATACATATTTTTGAACAACTTCGAGAACGGCACCGTGTATTGCAATCGGTTCCGGTAGAACATGTTCATTGAACATGACCTTGGTTTTATCCAAGTTCATCCGTAGGCCGATGCGTATGGAAGAGTCAGCTAGGTCATTCAGCATTTTTTGTAAGTCCTGCAGGGTTTCTGCCATGATGACGATGTCGTCTGCAAATCGCAAGTGAGAGATGCGTTCGCCATTGATGTTGATGCCATGTCCTTTCCAGTTCAGCGTCTTGAACATATCCTCCATTGCATTAGTGAACAATTTCGGGGAAATAACGTCCCCTTGTCTCACTCCACGATGCAACGGTATGGGACTTGTTTGCTGATTCTGTACTTGGACAGACATGGTGGCGGCTTCGTAGAGACATCTAATCACTTGGATGTATCGCCAGTCGACTTGGCAACGCTGCAGGGACTCCAGGACAGACCAGATTTCAATCGAGTCAAAGGCCTTCTCATAGTCCACAAATGCTAGGCACAGAGGCTGATTGTACTCTTCAGTCTTCTGTATAATCTGCCGTACTGCGTGGATGTGGTCTATGGTGCCGTATCCGCTCCGAAATCCAGCCTGTTCCGGTGGTTGGAAGTCATCAAGTCTTCGCGCCAGACGGTTCGTGATCACTCTTGAGAACAGCTTATAGACGTGGCTTAGAAGGGATATGGGTCGATAGTTCTTAAGTAGGGTCTTGTCCCCCTTTTTAAAGAACAAGACGACCACACTCCTACTCCACATCTCCGGAGTTCTCCCTTCGAACAGGACAGTGTTAAAAAGCTTTTGGAGTACACATAATGCATAATTATGTAGGTATAGTTAATTTCATCTGAATACAAGCAGCTGGTAAACATGTTTTGAGCCATCGAATTAACTGATGTTATATGTAGAATTAACAAACCGATGAATTGTAATGAATAAATTTTCCATATCAATGCACATTAACAGTTTTGGACGTCCCACCTCTCTATCAATAATGTTTATAGAGGCTCCGATTTGTTGATAAATTCTCAGAATAATAAGCAATTTAAAATTATGGAAATTCTGAGTCGGTTGACGTTGACTTTTCAGATGAAATGGAATGCATAGTTTAACGTCCTTCAATAAAATGTCTAATTTTAATAATAAGAACATAATTTAAAAGCAAATTAAAAAACTGTTTTTATTTAAACGAAACGTTAGTTTTATCGTATTCTTGCCAACACACCCATATTAAAACAAAAAACTACTATTTCGCGTACACAGGTACAGACATCACTTAAATAATAACATCTTCTCTTTCCCGATTTCAGGTGTCTCTTCAGCCATCTCACGCTGTGATAGCCCGTCCTTCATATTCATCGAATGGAGGAGAGGCATCAGTCGGTGCTGCTCTTTCAGTCAGCGATAGTGGCTCTACTCAAACGCAGACGTTTGACCAAAATTTATTGGGTCTACTAAACCAGATCCATCAAGTCAGACTGGACGACAGCAACAGCCAGCAGGCGTACTCTCAGTACCAGCCAATTCAGCAGACTTCCGCGCCAAATCTTGCTCTCCAGCAACAGCAACAACAACAACAACAACAACAACAACAGCAACAGCAACAGCAACAACAACAACAACAGGTCATAATCTCATACGTTCACCCAGTTATTAAGAGAGGTAGTTAATAGTGGATATCCCGCTCGAACTGGAGTGCCCGTCTGGGGAAGCATACAAAAGACCATAGTAAAATAACTACCTTTTGGTGGTATTGTGCTGGTGAGTAGGTTTCTAGGGCTCCGTAAGAGATTGGGTTTAGGCCGGTTAGGTTAGGATAACTGAAGCGGCACACCTGCCTCATTATCTACTTCGCGACTGGATTCCATCTTCACTTAACAAGAGGTGGGGTATTTTTTACGTAAAACAAATGTTAACATAGTTAGGGTTCTATATGAGAGAAATACTTGGAAAAAAAATCTACAACATAGTTTAGTTGGAGATTATTTAAATTTATATTTAAAATGGCTTAAATACCTTTAGTATTTCTACAGCCTTAAGGTAACCAAATTTTTGTATTGATTACAGGTTGACAGGTATGTAACGAAGCCCACAAAGAAGACCACTAAACTGCGGAGTAAAGTGCAAGCTAATCCTCCCCCGACCCCTGCCGCACCACAGCAGTACTTGATTGAAACAACGAACGTACAACAGCAACAGCCGCAACAGCTTCAACAGCCTCAGCCACAGTATCGTCCAGTACTTCAGCAATCAAGACCTTTGCAGGCCCTCCGTTATGTACCGTTTCAGCAAGCCCAACCAGCCATCCAACAGATCTATTACGAGCGCCCTGACACACAAGGACTAAAAGTTGTCCCCGCCCCCAAACTCCAGCAATTATCACAAGCAAGGCCACAACTTACCTACAGATTGGTACCCCAATATCAGCAACCCGAAGCAACTCCGAAGCAGTATAGATTCGTCGAAGTGCCAAGACCACAGCCAATCAGACAAGAGACTAGGCCCATCACATATCTGAAGCGTTACCCAGAGCCGGAAAAGATGAGAGCCGTTAAGATCTACGAACCGATGGAGCTGGCTGTTCCTCAACAACCTGCACAAATAATTGGCGAGCAATATTACCTCCGTCCCCTTTACAGGCAGCCTGAGCAAAGAGCAAGGTACGATTTACCAGCTGTTGCTATGAGGCCAGTTGAGCAACCACGACCTGTGGAGGCGACAAAAGCTCCATCATCAGCAATTTATGTGAGCAAAAACTTTGCTCCCGTGAAAAACCAAAGGTCGCAGCCGGTAAGACAAGAACAGAATGTGAAGATTGAACATCCGACGTATGAACAGCCAGCTCCGCAGCCTGTGAATACTGAGCAACAGACTCAAACTGTAGAGGATCAGCGCGCACAATTACCTCCTCCAAGAAACAACAAAGCTTACACTCCTGAGGAGTTTGCTGCCTTAGTTGCGGCCGGGTACTCGGTAACGCCCATCCCCGTAAGTTCGCATATTGCCCAGTCCAGGTCATCATTTGAACCAGTTCCGCAAACTAAACGGCGACCCATCTACCGACGACCACAGTATCTTCCAATTAGAGATGACGCGCCTTGAAACGACCATAAACAATATTGTAAATAATTTAGACGTATTCCTTTAACTAAAGATAGTTTTATACTAAAATATTGTTGTTTTATTTAAAACCTCATAAATGAAAAATCGTGTTTCCATTCATTTATTATGAGTTATTTGCGTTAACCTCAAAGCTTTCTCTGAAACCGCAGCACGTACCGTTACGTTAATAATGAAAACAACTTACGAGTATATTAAACTACGAACTAATAACTTCTAATAACACACAGTGGTAATTAAATTCTAAATTAGAATTTAATTAACTGCGTATTATTAGAAACATTACTCCACTAGTTATTTGAATGGGAAAGTAGAATTTGCAGCTAAAGAAGAAATACAGTGGCAAAAGATAAAATTAATACCCTGGGAAAATAATACTTACACATAGATGTTCTGGGCTGAGAGGTGCTGAAATATCGAAACGCTGCTGACGAAAATCCCTTTGATGAAATTAGTCCCTTTGCCGTGACTATACTTTCATTGCCATGGTCCACCGATGAATTGGAAAGAGTCTTCAGCCAGTTGAATTTAGTTAAAAATAAATCAAGAAACAGAGTAAGAGCCCCTTTTACATTGTTTGCAAGAAATCGTAATTTTTGAGCGCCTACATTACCCTGTTAAAGTTATTTTTGATACAAGTAAAAAGTAGATTTACCTTTGTTATTATAAGTTAAAGTAGAATATTTACAAACATTTTATTATTAATTTTTTGTACTGATCGTTCTACCGCACCTTATTTACGGAAAAAATGGTAAAATGCACAACTTCAAACGCCTAAATCTATGAATTAAATTGAATTAACTAGTTTAACTTAATTTAATCGCAAATATGTTTTACCTGTAACATAATGTATGATAATATTGAATTACCGTTTCCTTAATTAAAAAAAAAACATCTATACTAATACATTTATGTGCAATATCTAAGGCGTGGTTATGTGAGACTCCTTTCCTCCTCCAACCAATCCAAAGACTGGTCCAACGGCAGCTCGAGAGGGCCCTACCCTCTAAAAACCTGACGATGCCCCTCATCTCATCGATGGATCTCGTCATCTTGTCGGGCTCAAGGTCCACCATCAGGCGCCACCCCGCCTTGCGAGGCAAAGGCACTGGGTGAGGCCACGGGAACCCGTAGAGCTACATCCGCGATCTCGCCAGTGAGTGTCCGAGTCGAATGGACCCACCCAAGTTGGGGGTGCCCCGAGGCATCGGAGGCATCCCCACCTATATACAGTGCAGCCTATGCAATGCCGGACCCCGATGGCATGCAGCCTGATACCTGGACTGATTGTATTTTTGTTGTAAAATTTTCTTTGCAATTGAATGATTAAAACAAATTAAAAACAATCTTTATTGAGCAAAACATCCGCTTCATCCTATCTAATGAGCAAAACAATAATTTTGCTCGGTTTTGTATTACTGTGTACAAGATCCAACGACAACAAAAAAGGACAGTACTCTAGTACCCTAAGCACGAACTTTGACAGATGCGTATTCGTATCGCCAACGTTAAAGTTTCTATGGAAACTAAGCAGTGATTTAGGACGTAACAACAAACTAGCTTTTTTCATAGAAGTTTTGACATGGCGATACGAATATTTTCTCGATAGTTATTTGTGCTTGGGTAAGAGCCCAAATGGAAGTTGGACTTTCAAACGAAGTGTTCCGTACCAAAGTAAAATAATTAAAATCTATATCGAAAAACTAAGTTTTATGTACGGAGATCCCAGTTTATTTTTTAGTGATGTAGCGTCAGCTTCAAATTCTGTGCTCGGTGTGTTCTAGATACAAAGTACAGGCTGACGATGACGCTACACTTCTTTTTGTTTTTGGAACGAAGTTCTTTACGGCAGGCTTGGAGGGGATAGGGATTTTGCTGCGCGACCGAACTGAAAAAAATGTGATAGTAAAACCGTAAGAAAAAATCCGTGGAAAAAAGTGCGTGGAATAAAACCGTTAAATGAGACGTGCGCAGGCGCGACAGAGAGGAGGGGATAGGGATTTTGCTGCGCGACCGAACTGAAAAAAATGTGATAGTAAAACCGTAAGAAAAAATCCGTGGAAAAAAGTGCGTGGAATAAAACCGTTAAATGAGGGAACTTCGTTCCTATCTGGTGTCCCACGACACCACATCATTTTTTTATTATATGTATTTTGTTATTTTAGCGCCACAGCAATATAGTGCGTGCGTGTTGTTTTCTGTGAAAAGCTCAGGTTTCTACTGTTCAAGAGATTGAGCCCTTTGACAGAAGGAGAGGCAGACATAGAGTTATATTAATATGGATTCGTTAGTCACCCTTTGTGTTCATAACTCACATTTTAACTGCTTTATCTTTTCTTTTTATCGTTATCCAGTTTATGATACCGCCTATTGATAGACGGAAGGACAAAGTAATATACGGCTTTTAGTAATAGAGTCATTATCACCATTACGTAACGGAACCATAAAACATATTTTTTCCTGCAAATTCCCACGTTTAATTCAGAAATTCGGACGAACTCATAAAAATCCACATCCCCGCATTATTTATAATGAGCCGCCATACTCCTGTACCGTATCAAGTTATTCTCTCGTCCTTTATATTTTATTTCAGTAGGTATTCTGAACAACTTGGTTGAAGTCAGGTTTTGACGCACCATTGTAAGGGCATATTAAGGGTTGGGAGCTTACTCATACTTACTCAACATAGAGATGTTGATGAATGAATTTAATAATACTTTATTAATATTACACAACAATTTGAAGTGAAAACTTTTTTAGCGGCGTTGTACACTTTTTTTTGTATAGGTATAAAATGTTAAACTCGCGTCAGGTTAAACACGTGGGCTGATCGCATCATGACACAATAAAATTGGAAACGTTGTTGACTTTCAATATATTGGACGAAACATAGTAATATTTTATTTTATCGTATTATAATAAGCAGTCTCTATCTAGGACGTCGACGTGGCAGCTTTATTGCGAAGAAAATGCATTTTTTTTACAATAGATGTCGCCAAGTGCACTTAAACGTGATTCATGTAAGTTGATATTTCTGAGAGATAAACTTTCTTAATGTAATTGATTAATTGTCATGTTTGTGTACGATAGCGCAATAAATAAATATTATATTCTACCACATACATGATAGTACTTTTATACTGATAACTAAAGCAATTCGTGCAAAATTATTCCCTAACCATTCCAAAATATCAAAAATGCACAACGTTAATATTCAAGTTTTCACTTCTGCCGGCACTCCCGGAGTGCAACTCGTCGTTTTTTTTATATACGAGGCGTAACCAATTATCTCGCCCCAACTGATGTTAAGTGTAAGTTGAGTCCCGACACGAAAAAAGATGATGCAGTAGAAAGTGTCCAGCCATTCACACCTAGTCAGCCTGAGCCCAATCCCCTACCCTACGGAGCTTTTGACTCCTACTCAATAGCAGTAACACAACACGTTCAAAAGGTTGTGTTATTTTACTGTCTTCTGGTGGAGATGGCAGACTGGTGCTCCAATTCGAGCAAATTAACTGCTGTGACGTCTCTTAAGTAAAACCGCTGTGCCTTAAATACACAGATTAAAACGGTTTTATGAAGTTTTTTTTTTATATTATAGCGAGTATACGAACAGACGACTCATCTGATGGTAAGTGATCATCATCTCCCATAGATATGACTTGGGTTAGATAAAGAGATTTTAACTGGATTCGGTATCGGTTGGCTTTAATGTTACAAATGGGTTCAAGTGTCCTTGGTTTCCACTTTCACAGTCGTAAATTTTGCAGCAAAACCGAAGCTTTAAAGGTATTAAAGCATGTTCAGTAATATTTTACGATAAAAGCAGGACCCTCAATAGCGTATTTACCCTAGGGTGAAGAGGGCCATCGATCGAGGAGGGGGCCACCTTCAGGTGGAGGAGGTGTAACAATTTTTGTTATCACCGGCTATTTCAGGGCTTACATGAGACTCGAAACTTATTTAATTTATAATCAGGGCGCCGTGATACTGTAATTTGAGGGAGATAAATGAAAATGTCTAAAACCGCAGTGAACAAGATATTATATTGTCAAAAAAAAAGATTCAGATCTTATTTCATCATGGTTAAAACTTAATACTAGTCACATTCAACTTAATAAATACATAGCTATATTTCCTCAAAGATTTTTCTTTTGATTTAAAGATATTCATACATTCAAGATCATGTGCTAATACAGTAATACTCAATTTAAGTTTCTTATATAAACAAATTATTAAACAAGTTATAAAATATTAAGTTTTGGAAATTTAACAATAAAAATTTGTTATGTTTTTATAATGGCTTTACAGTTTACCAATACAAATCCTTTATCACGTTAAACAGAAATTGTTCTCCGGAGTATGCACTGGTTAAATATCAAGAAGTTATAAGTTTTACTTAGCTTGGCAAGATCATGGGAGCATCAGGATGACTCAAATGTCCTTAGGGATGAAGCAGGACTTGCTGTCATCACGTGAACCCGTCACTTTTTGCTCAAGAAAGCTTCACAGGCTCATATATATATATATATTTCCAAGGAGATTCCAATCAGGATCAAGTAATTGTGATTATTACTGTTATTAATTAGCCAAATTAATGGACCTAGAACCAATTACACATTTTTCTATAATTCAATAAAAAAACTAACTGGACCTACAGCCTAACGAATCAAATGTATTGAACTTACCCGTTAATCCGGGGAGAAATATCAAGTAAATAATGCACTGACTACCACTGCTAGTCTTAATGCTATTTTCTAAGTATGGTCTTCAAGGTTCTATCAGCCAAAAGAGACCGAATTTGGTTGTGCACTGCTATTTATAGGCTACTACAACACGTGACAGCGTCATTGCAAATTTCTCTCATATCACCATATTTGGTGTGAGGAATCAAACGGACCGGTTTTGCTGACTCCGCCTCTCACTGTTTCCAGAACATTAATGTGACGTCACATCCAATTTTGCATCTCATTTAAAAAATTACACACTAGCTCCATCTAACTTACATTCCAAATGCAACTACTAGGTTCACACATATATTGTA